TAAACGTTACATTCATAATCAAACGAGACAATCTGCAAGATAATTAGCTATTTGGTATTATTCTTAATGCTTGTCATTCACACGTTAATAAAATAAAATAAGTACCGATACATAGCAGAATAATTGTGGCGGTGTTCAGCTTAATAAGCCTTGCTCAACATCATTTATTTAGCTAATACTACAGCGGGCTGCAGGCGAACCAAGTCCGCGTTACGATGCATTCCTAGATCTCCAGTTATAACGCCGGACTCCGCCGCTGGCCGAAGCTAACGGAGCCCCAGGGTGCTAGCTACGGCCGCCGGGACGCGCTAGCGAGCTAGCACCCTGCAGCCCCGTTAGCTTCGGCGGCGTGGACTCCGGCGGCCCACCCCTTTTAACATTTGCTCCCGTTTAGCATTATGGGCGTCATAGCCATATAGTATAAAAGTCTTACCCAAGGCTGAATCATAAACTAAACTGTATATATGTATAAAGGGTTACGTCCTTAGCTGGCTAATAAGCTACATAACAGGCTAAGCTAACAAGCACACAAACACCTGCTAACGGGGTTAACATGTATAATATTATCATTTTACTCACCGAAAAAAGCTGAAAGTAGACTTCTTGGAAGATCTGTTAGTACATTCAAGCGCACAGCACGACATTTTAATTATCTGGTATTTGTAACAATATTCCCTAACAGGCGCGATCACCACGAACACAGCTAAAGGATCAAGTACAGTAACTACAACTAACTAACGTTGTAGCCTCTATGGTTGTAGCCTAGCAGATTGGACAAGTTGCTGTTAGCTGACAGTGAGGCACGTATCTGTCAATCAAAGTGACCACGCCCTAATGTATGCACAAACTTTAAGACCTAATATAAATATAAAGGGTCGCGTTAGAAAACAATTCACTCACAGATCCATAATCATGAAGGTGGAATCTAACTATATCGATAATAAAATGTATGGAGCCAGGGGTAGAAACATGTTTTTTTCTGCTGTAAAATCGGGCATTTTAACATGGGGGTCTATGGAAATTGCTCCTTTCTGCAGCCATCGCCTATCGGCCAATATATGAACTGCAGTGTGTGGCACTTCCGTATTGGCTTCCCGGCTCTACCCCACAGTTTGCCGCTTGAGCTCAAGTCTAGTTTCTCCACCTGGAGATATTCTCACTATTTCACTTTTGTCGAGCACAAAGAAAAGAACGTTTTAGTTAAATGTAAGTTGTGTCCTGGCGGGTCAAAGATCCTATCTACTGCCCAAACCAGTAATTCAAATCTCTTAAAACATCTGCAAAAACAACATGCTGGGACGAAGCTAGTAGCTAAGACCACAGAGACTCAGCCGACGCCACTCCACCTCCACCTAAGCAACAGCGGCTGGATTTTAACCAAGGGACTGCTAGCCAGGGAAAAGTCGATAAAGCCATTGCACGGTATGTTGTAGAACACATGCAGACTATTGCTACAGTGGAGTCACCCGCTTTCAGGGAGCTAGTTAGCATGATAGCATGTCCGGGTGGCACACGGCATATGGGACGGAAAACTTTTTCCAACTACCTGGAGAAAGAATATACAAAAATGGAAAGCCAGCTAATATCGATGCAATCCAGATTGCATATAATGCATGTCAAGTTGATCAACAGATTGTATTATTCTCCAATGCAATAACAGTACTGAAATGAAGGCTATAAGGGCATTAATGGGAGCCCTTTTTTTAAGTAACAAAAACGTTACTTTTCACAGTAACGCATTACTTTTGGGTGTAAGTAACTAGTAAAGTAACTGAGTTACTTTTGAAATGAAGTAACTTGTAATGTAACTAGTTACTGGTTTTCAGTAACTAGCACAACACTGGTAACCAGTGTGCCTTGCTCGTGATTTACCAGTGTTTGTGCTGCCACGCACACAATGTTTAAAAGTGGTTGCCATGTTGCCCTTTATTTGTGTATGTTTGCGATAAGTGTGCGTCTTTACGCAATGCTGTTGGCCTTGCTGATTGATATTGTGCCACAGGCCCGCAGCACGTGACGGTTTTGTGTGCCCTCCCATGACAATCATATGCCCTCCCTTTAGATTTGTTCTGGCGCCGGGTCTGCTCATACTTGCCAACCTTGAGACCTCAGAAATCCGGAGCATTTCCAAAACCACCGCGGTGGGTGGGGTGGTGGTCAGTGGCGGCGCTAGGGGGTGGCTACTTGGACTCAAGCCCCGGATGTTTTCTGAAAAGCCCCGGATGTTTCACTTAAAAAAAAAAAGGGCTTTGTTTTTGAAAACGTCTCGGGAGTAATGTGCAGTACCGGAGTCCACCAGAGAGGCAGCCACTGTGGGACATTAGCCTGCGTACTGCGTAGCCTGCCCTGAAGAAGAAGTGATCCTTCCTAGTGCCTGACGAGTTTTAAGCTAATAGCCTATACAGTTATGGATATTAGAAAGTTATTGTCATCGAAGCAGGCGCCACAAGCTGCGGCAGCAGCAGTATCAGCAACAGCAGTATCAGCAGCTGACAACAATGTCATCACCAGCAGTCAAGAAATGGATGATGTTTCAGGTTTGTTAATCTAATGGTGATATCTGCACTCTGGCTGACTGAGTAAGAAGTGAAAAAGAGTGATGTAACGTTAATGTTATAGCTAGTAAACATGGAGTAACCACACCAAGTATACCCTTATATGTTAGTATGTATACAGAACATGACTAAAAATAATCCTAAGATGTAACGTTAACCCTTCATACCTCAGTCTACTTTTAAGAGACTAAAATAACGTATTCCAATTTTTATTTTGTTTTCGCACGTGGAATTATACCGGCTCCCGTTTCAGTACACATAACAACAGAACTGACAGGCAACCCTCTGAATCAGACTCTGATTGGATGTGACTGCATCCACTCAGTGTCCGATTCAGAAACGTGACTCTTACACTCTTTACGTCACAAACAAAGATGGTGGATGAGAATAGATCTATAAAACGATAAGCAATGCGCCAGAATCAAGGTGAGACTATCCGCATCCTTTAAAACTCTACGCACATTCGTTTCACCTTAATAAGTAAACAACTATTTGAGTGAGTTAAGGCATTAGTTTGCTTCATTAAAGGGTGTTAATGAGTGTTCTCCAGTGCCTTTTGTCCGCTTTAAGGTGTTATTAAGGTAGGGTTAATGTTGCTCTCAAAGTGCACCAGATTGATGCTTTCAACATCAATATTTTAAAAAAAATCTTCACGGGGGAGCATGCCCCCGGACCCCCCGAGAGGAGGCGACGACCCCCCTAAAGGATGTTCGGTCCACCCCCCACTTATAAAAAATAGCACTGGGAGAAATATGACCCCGGGAGGAAACCGGGAGAGGGCAATGAAATCGGGAGTCTCCCGCGAAAATCGGGAGGGTTGGCAAGTATGGGGTCACTACCGGAGGTCCGAGGAGTCGAGGAAGGGAAATTAGAGTATTGAGAAGCCTTCACTATAGAGAGAATAAATCCCGCCCATCTACTTCCGCCCCATGGGACCTTATTTCGGAAAAATTATGTATTGAAGTAAATGGAGAGAGAAAACTTATCTTTCTATCCCGTTTGAATTGTGCCACGAGTTACACATATGATGTTTGTCAATCTTAAAAAAAATGTCCATGTCAAAAAAGTCACAGTTTGTCGTAAAACTGTTGAAATATAAGACTATGAAAAATACGCAACTAGAAAGACTACAAATCCCAGAATCCCGGTCCCGCATGCTGGCTCTTACGGACCGACTAACTCCCCTTGTGTGTATGTACAGCTCTCAACGTGCCCAGACCTGGAGTGATTTTCACCTCGTTTAATACTTTAAACGAAAGAAGTGAAATGTGCTAACGTGACGGCCGTCTTGGTGTGTGGTGCGAGACGGGAGATGTAGTTCATTGAGCGGTTTCACACAAAAAAAGTGTTACTTCACAGTTTTACGACACATTTAATTATCTTTTAATTTGAAAAAAATCACATGTGGCACAATTCAATTGGAATCGAAAGATAATCTTTCTCTCCCCATTCACTTCAATACATAATTTTTCCGAAATAAGGTCCCATGGAGCTCCCCCGGAAAGGGAGGGACTTTGCCTCTCTATTTCAAGTATACTACTTCATCGAGTGGCACCGAATGCTGGGCATTTAAACAGCATTCAAACAGTCCTTCGGCGCCACTCGATGACGTAGTATACTTGAAATAGTGGCTCTGCAGCAGCTTTACTCAACATTGAGAAACGGCCTGTGTTGCAACCATAGACTATAAAGGTTGCAACAAGAACTGGATACAGCGTGGGAGGCGGGGTCTCGTTCTTTCCGTTGAGAGCTGCTGATTGACGCATGAAGTCAAAATGGCCAAACTTTTGAGAGAGCGAAACGTCACAGAACCATCATGCCTGGTTGTCAGAGCAGAAGTACCCGTATGTGTGCTCAACAAAACGTGATCTGTCTCTTCAATTTGTGTCAACCACAGACCTTATTTCGAGCTATTTTCCAAAATCTGAGAAATGGCATTGCTTTTTGTCGAAGGAACCAGAAGTGGTAAAATGCTAACTTACTTCCGGGTTTTAGGATGCGTCACTGTGTTACTCTATAGATGTTGCAACTATACAGAGCTTTGGCAATACTGTATGCAGGGGTTCAATTGGAACACGTTCACTAAGCCGAAAAAAAACTATATCCGGTCACAGCTCTGCTATTTTAAGTTTATCCCAATAATTATAAAGGTGTGCATTGGAAATATTTGTTTTCATAAATTGCATTTATCTCTCTCGCTCGCTCCCACGCCCACTTTGGCTGTGAGCTGCAGACGCCTGATAAGCCAGCAGTGTTGGCTTATCAGGCGATGGGCGCTGTAAGTGATGAAAGTGGGGGGTGTTGGCCGCGGACGCCTGATAAGCCACAGTGTTGGCTGTAAGTGATGAAAGTGGGGGCCAACACACCCCACTTTCATCATTTTCAGCGCCCATCGTCTAGGGCAAATGAAAAGTGTAACCGGGGTGAAAAGGGTGTTAGATTTACTTAATTGTGAATATTGTTACATCAAGGCCGAAAATTAGGATGAGCGGGCAGAGCGGCGACAGTCACAAAGGGTTTTTCCCTCCCAGAGCTGCAAGCGCAGCGCCGCCCCAGATATGGCGCCCTAGGCGAAAAGATCAGTGGTGGAAGTAACGAATAATTTACTTAAGTACTGTAGGCTACTTAAGTAAGATTTTGAGGTTGCACTCGAGTTTTTAAATTGTACTTCTATTCCTCTACAATTTAGAGGTAAATGGTGTACTTTAACTTCACTAAACATTTGTAATACCTTTAGCTTCTTTACAGATTTGGATTAATGACCTGAAATATAATATACACTTAAATCAGACTTTAGTTACACCTGGAGTAAATTCACAACCCTGCAGTATACAAAGTCATTAAAACTAGCTGCACCTTTACCAGCTTTCATAACACTTAAATGCATCAATAATTATAATCAAAACATATCAAATATATTATTCTGAAATGAAATCTGCATTATGAGTACTTTTACTTCAGATTAGCTGTCAAGCTGCATCTTACCTTGTCTCTCTCTCCTCGCGATCCTCTGAGTGATCTGTCTCTCGGTCTCTCCTCCTATTTGTTCATTCTGAACTGTTTCAGTTTCGTTTCTGACAACAACAAATATGCATTCCCTAAAATCCCCCCACCTGCACACGATATCATGTTGAACAACACCTTAAAAAAGGCTTATTTATGCATATTCTTTTATCTCTCCAGTTTTGAACGATATTTTTGGTTTACTGTCCTATAGTATACATTGAAATGATTTCAAACCTGTTTATCCCAATAATTATAAAGGTGTGCATTGGAAATATTTGTTTTCATAAATTGCATTTATCTCTCTCGCTCGCTCCCACGCCCACTTTGGCTGTGAGCTGCGGACGCCTGATAAGCCAGCAGTGTTGGCTTATCAGGCGATGGGCGCTGTAAGTGATGAAAGTGGGGGGTGTTGGCCGCGGACGCCTGATAAGCCACAGTGTTGGCTGTAAATGATGAAAGTGGGGGCCAACACATCCCACTTTCATCACTTACAGCGCCCATCGTCTAGGGCAAATGAAAAGTGTAACCGGGGTGAAAAGGGTGTTAGATTTACTTAATTATGAATATTGTTACATCAAGGCCGAAAATTAGGATGAGCGGGCAGAGCGGCGACAGTCACAAAGGGTTTTTCCCTCCCAGAGCTGCAAGCGCAGCGCCCCCCCAGATATGGCGCCCTAGGCGAAAAGATCAGTGGTGGAAGTAACGAACAATTTACTTAAGTACTGTAGGCTACTTAAGTAAGATTTTGAGGTTGCACTCGAGTTTTTAAATTGTACTTCTATTCCTCTACAATTTAGAGGTAAATGGTGTACTTTAACTTCACTAAACATTTGTAATACCTTTAGCTTCTTTACAGATTTGGATTAATGATCTGAAATATAATATACACTTAAATCAGACTTTAGTTACACCTGGAGTAAATTCACAACCCTGCAGTATACAAAGTCATTAAAACTAGCTGCACCTTTACCAGCTTTCATAACACTTTAATGCATCAATAATTATAATCAAAACATATCAAATCAAATCAAGTTTTATTTATATAGCACATTTATAAACTATATTATATATTCTGAAATGAAATCTGCATTATGAGTACTCTCCTCCTATTTGTTCATTCTGAACTGTTTCAGTTTCGTTTCTGACAAAAAACAACTACCGACGTGTTGCCTAAAATCCCCCCACCTGCACACGATATCCGTGTCCGTGTACTTTTTGTCAGTTTGATTTTTCGTTTAAACCAAAAGTCAAAAAACGAAAATACCAGCCTTTTTCCGTTTTTGATTTAAAACGAAAAAACGGAAAACCAAAGCCGTTTTTCCGTTGTTGTTGTCTGAATAAAAACACGGATAACGAGAAAACCTGACCAAAAAAAGGGTCAGTGTATGTTTTGGTCATTGGATTTTCTTTTCACAAATGGATATTCAAAAACAAAAAACGACTGGATATTTGATTTTCGTTTTCAAATTCAAAAACCAAAATTGAAATACAAGGCGTTTTTCTTTATCATGGTCAAAAATGTATTTACTAAACTTAAAAAACGGGATGATTTTCATTTTCTACTTCTCAAAACAAAACAAAAATCACTAGAAAACAGAAACAAAAAAACCCCCCGTTTTTTCATATTCTGCTACCGGAAGTTGTCTTTCAAAATAAGAGCGCAGATGAGGACGGCCAATCCGTGTATCTACAGTCCATTTGTTTTCACAACGAAAACAGCCAAGACACATATTGAGCCCAGATAATGAATGTTATTGAGGGCTGGAAATATAATAGGCCTGTGTCTAAAATGGACAACATTGTTAGGAGATTTGAACTATACAGCGATTCTGCACTGCGGTCACTCAGCCGTCTCTCGAGTTTGTGTGAGATCGATCCTGTTGGACTCAGTAGCCTACTAGTGAAACTACTCCCACAACAAGTACTATGAAGTACTTACTGTGTACGTTTTGAGTAATCCTCTGTCAATGTCCCCTCCTGAGAACAAGAATGCATGTTTCTCTGCTATTTAGAATCAGCGTTAAAACACCTTTCTTCATTGTTGGACAGAGTATTTTAAGAGGATGGTAGACATGATATCAGCAATACTTCCAGTCAGTAGTCCGGCAGCAGTATGTTTACCCCTTGGAAAGTCTTGCCCGCTATTTAAATTGACTTTGATTGAAGTTAATAACAATATTGATATTATATAGATATAGATATAGCATATTTGATGCAGTCTTTCTGAATACTTTTAAAATAAAATACTGCAAATTAAGAATATTTGTAATAGTGCCTTATCCCTCTATGGCATGACTTTTTATTTTGGGAGGAAAAACAATGTTTCACCATGTGTTTTAGGAGCTTAGGGGTCAATGATATTATATCAATTATAAAATGTGACCCCCCCACACCCCTCAACCAGGGGTTGGTTTGTTGCCTCAGGCCAGGGCAACAATGATATAATACGAGGGTATTGAAAACGTGTGTGTGTGTGTGTGTGTGTGTGTGTGTGTGTGTGTGTGTGTGTGTGTGTGTGTGTGTGTGTGTGTGTGTGTGTGTGTGTGTGTGTGTGTGTGTGTGTGTGTGTGTGTGTGTGTGTGTGTGTGTGTGTGTGTGTGTGTGTGTGTGTGTGTGTGTGTGTGTGTAGAAGAAGGGACAGTAACAGAAGATCTCTGTGGCTTCAGGCTTGATCGCCGTTCAAATGACAGCGTTGGTTTCCCCAAAAGTGGGCGGGGCTGTAAAGTGACGTAGATTTGACTCTCATCTATTATTCAAAACCATTCTATTTATTCTAACGTAAATTACATGCCAGTGTTTTATCTTTTTATTTATTTGTTTTTATTTTAAATCGTATAATGTCTGACTTTGTTTCCGTCTGTGAGGAAAATAAATGAAAATACTGAAATCTGTATTTTTGAAAATCTTTTTTTCCTTCTAATTTGTTATTCTTTTATAAATAACACACTGTTATTTACTCAACAATAACACACAATTATCCTTGTTTTTATTTATTCGTTTAATTCTATAATCTTGGGGTTTTTAGCATGCTTTTAGTTTTTAGCATGCTTTTTAGCCGTAAATAAAGTCTATAAGCCTATAAGGGACATTTCGAGCAATACACACCACAAACCCACTGAACAGATTACCCAAGATCCTCAGCTTGAAGCTCGTTGATTGGATGTTTTAGCCGCAATGCATGTTGGGATATGATGTTAATGCAATATGATATCCGGAAAAAAGAAAAAAAAAACTTTATTCCGAGTGTTCTTGCTTTTCTCTTTGGAGGTCATCACATAACGGCATGGTAATACACGGTTCGGCTGCATTAAATATTACATATCTGCCGTAGTTCTTTATTTATAGAGCCCTGATGAGAAGACTTCTGGACAGACAGGAGAACTACCGCCAAAACTGAATAGTGACTTCTTGGATCATAAATATATCAACAATTAAACAACATCTTGCATTTCTTTTCACACAATACGTCTCCTTGCAGTATCAACATTAATTCGGATGACTTTTATATTTGATCCAATTGGTAGATAGGTTATATTTACACCATAACGGTGCACAGCTGATATAAAAGGACTTGTAGTTTTTAAAGATATTACTGATTTTCTTTGAATATAAGAATGTAAATACTGAGTTGAGAGAATAGTCAGGGGATTTGGGTGATGGGAGACACAACTATGGAATCACAATTTCAATAACTTACCATTAAATGACGGATATGCCTTTCTGTCTGTGATGTTTTACAAATCAGATATTAATATGTAGAAGTAAAACATGAGATATCCTGTACAATTATATAAAAACATGAATAAAACTACACATCTTCAGATGTTATACATACATAAGTGTCCTACACTAATAATACAAAGTTATTATTAGTATGCTGTGTGTACCTTGTGTGCACCGCCTAGTGGTTAAAGCACGTTATTGAATTATTTTTGTTGAATAATGTTATTTGATGAAAAAATATTAAGAGTACATACTTTCATAGGGGGAAAGTAGAAGGTCAATGATAGAAATAAAGAATATAAAAAATCAAGAAGATACTGTAGTGATCTCTACAATAAAACAGTTTAGTGCAGGATGTACAAAGATATTAATGTGAGGATGTGCAAAACAGACAAACTAATTAACCTTTATTAACACATTAAAGAACACTTTAGGTTAAGTTCTTCTTTCAAATAAGAAAAAAGCTACAGATAAATATTAAGCCTGACAAAGTACTTAACGTCTAATATATTGCTTTCCTGCAATGTTAACTATGTTGAAGCACTTATTTTAGCTGATATTATACATATGAATTATACTCTTATGTATGTAGATAGTATAAGAAATTTGCAGAATATGACAGTTTAATGCTGGAGGTACACACGCATATTGATAGATGTCTTTTAATGCACTGTTGAGGAACCTGTGACCCAAAACTGGACTTGGACGGGTCCAGCCCTCCCCCCCAAGAATTACACATGCTGGCTATTGTGTTTTTCGCAACATGTTCTATGGCACGTGTTGTTGGGGCAGACACAGTAGTGGTGGCTTAAAGCCCACTTCTGCTCCGCGCCGTCCGTTTAGATGAGCCTGGTCAGATTGATAAAAGAGTGAGTTCAACACACCGGCATAAAAGTTATAACAATAATCTGATTTTAATGGTAAAAAACACCAATACAAGTTTACAGAGTACTCTGGACTCCCAGTTCTACTGCTGTGCGATACAGGTATCGGGACCAGCCAGTCAGAAACAGGGGGCATTTTGCATGACTACACAACAGTATATATGGATATATTTTGAGGTGGAGAGCCACTTCTTATCTTCCACCGGACCCAACTCCTTTAATTTCCCAGGGAAGGTTTCACACAAACTATTCTTTCCTAAACAATAAAACATTGTACACAGATATATTGGTATCAAACATTGTACACAGATATATTGGTGCTTGGGATTATTGGCCCCAGAAAGAACCTTGAAAAAGAACATGTGTGTGTGTTAGTGAGGGGAAGTGTATG